CTTACAAAAAACTCCTTCGCGCAAAAACGTTCAAAACAAATGCAAACAGGAGCATACTACACTGGTACATCAATACAAACACCCAAGATAAACACCACACACACACACACACAAACACATACACACACAAACACACACACACACACACTCACACACTCACACACTCACACAAACACAAGTGCTCACGAATACACGTGCTCGTGCGCACAAACAAACAGTAGTAGCAATAAGCTCTTCAACTTCAACAAAAATAAATGATCACAACATCTCAACGTTTTTTCAGCTCTATGTAGAATCTTGCTCCCGCAAGAAAATTTACAAAACAAAAGTGTATTAAAAATTGGTGACCCCTATGCTATTAAAAGCAATTAGTTTGCTAAAATTTGATATAGCAATTTAATAATAATAATATAACCTTGGAAAACAAATAATACATGTAATTACATGTACATGTAATAAGATAATTACTATGGCAATGAATATAAGGAACCGAATTGTTTTTTTTAAGGAGATAGAATATATTTTTAACTGCTTCTGACTGCAATCAAAAGAAATGCCATTTGGCGCCTTCCAAATTGCTATGCCAATTAAAATGCTAATAAAACATTCCGAAATGAAATGTTATAAATAATAACTGCTTTTAAAAACAATTTTTAGGACACTTAATGCTTAAAGAATTCTAACTTGGTCTGAATTAAATACTTTTTTATGATCTAAACTATTTGAGTGTTTTAATGTTATATTTATTAAGGAATAACTTTTTTGAAAGATTGAAGTTGTCAGTTTCGCATATAAATCTAAAAACCTGGCATGAAGTTAATACCACCGGTGATTATTTTGTCGTTTTGACTGCAATTTTTGTGTTGACTGATGATAGTAGTAGTTGAAGTGTTAGTGCAAAGCTTGAGAAAGTGATAATCAAACTTAACGTGTTGGACTAGAAGAGGTTCATTTATAGTGCTATTTTCAACTTGCTGGTTGTCTGATAACATTACAAAAATGAGTCTTTGGGTCGACAAGTACCGTCCGAACTCTTTGAGTAAGCTTGACTACCACAAAGACCAAGCAGCGCACCTGAAAAAGTTGGTGAGTATGCATTTATATACAATTTTAACTGAAATTTAGATCTAGCTTATAAGCTTTAGGGCTTACCAGCTTTAGATTTACTCTGATGTGTCTTTCTATTGATTGACTTGGCTGGATCCAAGCAGATCGGGTCAGCGGGGCCGAAGGCCCCATAGCGTCCGATAAGGCCAGAAGGGAGTGTATACAGACCCGGTAACCGGGAACAAAATCACAAAGTTTACAGACCCGGTAGGGGAACTCTTTTGTGATTTCGGAAAGTTTCAACGCCCTCTTGGCTCAGGGCAGACCACAGAATTCTACACTAAGGGAAGACCTAGAGGTCCTTCTAGAGATCTATAGCCTATGGCCTATGGTCTAGAATCTAGGTCTAGATTCTATCTAGATCTAGATCTAGACAGACAGACATAAATCATTGATCTGGTTTCGAGGCTAGCTTAGATCTAGAGTCTAGATTTAGATCTAAATGAAGATTGCGGATGTCTTTTCGATGACCGATCGTTTTTCCTCCGTTTTGGAGTTGGAGAAATCACAATTTGAAGAAAAGAATATGTCATATTTCAATCGAGCAGTCTCTCTCTCTCTCTCTCTCTCTCTCTCTCTCTCTCTCTCTCTCTCTCTCTCCCTCTCTCTCTCACACACACACACGCACTACCAGGTCTGGGCGCTGAAACTTTCCGATATCACAAAAGAGTTCCCCTACCGGGTCTGTATACTTTGTGACTTTGTTCCCGGTTACCGGGTCTGTATACACTTCGTTCAAAGAAAGCTGCACGACGTGCTGTCTTACCATTTTCATTGCAATGTTGGACTTGACTGACCTGCCATTGTTTTGATTGCAAGCTGCGGCTAGATCTAGAATCTAGATCGATCTATCTGCTTTGCCTTTGTTAAGGCTAGATCTAGATCTAGATATCTAGATCTAAATTCTAAATCTAGATCTAGATCTAGATCTAGAGAGCCCCTGTACGGCATACCGACACCTTAGTGTTTTGTGATGACTATTGACTATTTCTGGAAGTGAACTTTTATTTTACCATAACTTCGGCTCTTTCAAAAACATCGACCCAAAATTTCGTTTCTTTGAGAGTCCAGCCTTTCCTGTCGATGTGAGGTGAAGCTTTTAGTCAGATAGTGTATAAAGAAGCGAAGTGACTATTCGGACTCGACGGACTCGAGTCCGAATATGAAAAAATGTTATTCGGACTCTGATTCTTGTCCAGCATGACATCACTTCCGACGTCCTGTGACTCGTGACTCCTGCTTCCTGTCCTGCCTCGCTCGTGACTCGCCTCAGGCTGGGTAGAGACCAGGATCACTTCGGGCAAACACAACTTTTTCTTGGTAAACAATCGAGATGACCCAGGCTTGTGTATTTTAACGAATTGTTCTTTTTTTTTTTACACAGCTCTCATAATATGCAGGTGCCAGGAGATCTGCTAATCTTCAATTATACCTTTTTCTACTACAAAGAAAGTGGGAAACATGGGGGGTGCGTATCAATGAAGCGACGGGCATTGGATCAGCAGACAAGGTGTGGGGGAAACTAAAAAATGGCGGAAAATTGGAAGCACTGAACGTTAGATCTATAGAACGAACACTTCCTTTTTTCCTGACCCGTGTCCGAATAACATTTTTTCTTATTCGGACTCGAGTCCGAATATGAAATTTTTTTATTCGGGCTCGAGTCTGAATATGATAAAATGTTATTCGGACTCGAGTCCGAATAATGACGGCCATAAAGAAGACCCCTAACCGAGACTTGACGCATGTCATGTTATGACATGTACCCCATACCGGCACACATCGGGTTTTCTGTCATGGCGTGTACCCCATACCGGCACCCCCTACACCCCATACCAGCACACTCAAATTGAAGCACAACTAGGCGTTTGAAAAGAGGAAAGAGGCAAAGACGAACTCCTTTTGTACAGTGGGTCTAAGACAGAACTAATGTTTATTGACATACTAAAAAGAACAACCGCCAGAACAGACTCACATACATCTTACTCACACATAGGTACATGAATGTTTCATTTTATTCTTCCACACATATCACAAACTCATGAACATCTTCCTCACACACAGGTACATGAATGCTTCATTTTACTCTTCCTCACATATCACAACAAACTCACTTACATATTTTACTCACACACAAGTACGTGAATGCTTCATTTTACTCTTCCACATGTATCACAACAAACTCACATGAACATCTTACTCTCACACATACATGAATTTCCCTGTTGTTTCTTCTTCTTCTTCCCTGCTGTCTGCTTCTCCAACTTCGTTAACTTTTCTCCTCTTTTCTCTTCTTCCTTCTCCACCCTTTTCTCTCCCTTTCTCTCTTCCTCTTTTCCACTTCTTCCTCTTTTCTTCTCTTCTTCCAATTTCTTGGCCTCCTCCGATGCTTTGTACTTTGCCCCTATGATATACTTAGGGGCCTGAGCCCTCTTCTCTGTGTTGAAACCATGTTCCAGCTTGCTGGTACGGGCAGGTTGACGAACGAAGGGGCAGGAATGAGTTGATTGTACAAATCAAGGTACTTTCTTAGAGGTTCGATTTTGTGCCAGTGGCAACGGTGGACCCAATGCATGTCTGATGCCATCCATCCAGTGGCAATGGCATGATCAATTAGTTTGTCAAGGACAAAGCAAAAGTGTTGTCCTGAGGCAGTTTTTTGGGGGCTTGGGGTGTAACCAGAGTTTCATCTTCCAATGGTCTCAATGCCTGCTCAGGCAGACAATAGTCATGGTCCTGGTTATCCACAGGATCCCGAGCTGGTGTTGAAACCAAAGGTAGCTGAAACTCTGCTGCAAGATCCAGGAAGTCCTCGGAGGTACATTCGATCCCCGAGAACTCAAGACCTGTGGTCAAAAAGTTTAGGGCATCAACTTATCACTCACAAAACTAGAGACAAGGGCAGTTGGGGGAGGGCCAGCAAGTTCTTCTTCTGAAACAGAAGCAGTAGGAGCAGGAACAATATCACAACATGTGGAAACAGTGGCTGGAAGAACATCATCACAACATACATTGGACAGAGGAACATCATCATCATCATTACATACAATGGGTGGAGGGAAGGGATAGAGTTTCCTTCGTATAAATTTGTTTCAAACATTGGAAAATCTAAAGTCGCTCATTTTCTAATGAATCCGTGTCTAAATAGATCTATCTAGATCTATATCAAATCATAGAAACTAAAAAATCTAAAGTACTAAGATGCCATCCATAGTCCGTCAAAAAATAACTATTTTTAAAGTCACGCACCATGTAAAAAATATAGTGCCGGTATGGGGTACATCCCTAAAAAATTGTACCTCATACCGGCACCCCCGCTACAGTCGTCAATTGTTACAACAAAGAGCAGCGAATGGTTTGTGGTGGTAACTAGACACCTTATAAACTGAATAAAAATGCGAAACGAATCCTGCGGGTACGATTACAGAACCAATAGCTTATTTATGACACATTGCACATCTGCAAGCCGTAATGGCTGAACGAGGTTCTTACCTTTGGAGATGAAATGGATTATGTCTGCTCACACAGGTGTCTGATTCTGCTCAAAATTGTTGAACTTGAATACAAAACAATATTGAATGGAATTGTATGACAGACATCATTCCAGGTTATCATATTATAATTGTCTGGTTGTCCAATTTTGGGCCGAATGCGTGCATAGTGCCGGTCTGACGTACGTGTCGGTATGCCGTACATAGGCTCTAGATCTCTAGATCTAGAGATTATCTAGAGTCTCGATTCTAAAACTTCTGACAATAATAACAAATGGTGAGCAGACACTCTCTGCTGTCTGTCTGCTGGGTTTGGACTTTTTAAAACTCTTTTTAAAAAGTTTAATAAGCCCTGAGTTTTTTCTACCGTTTCCCGGAGTTTTTTTCTACACTACAGTCAATAGTCATCTACACTACTACACCTAGTGCACTATGTCTCATTATAAACCCAAAAGCTTGCCTCCAACTTCTAATTAACGGAAACAAAGGCTTTGTCATTTTGAAAAACTTGGTTCGGGAATAGTTCAGAAAAGCAAATAAAAACTAGCACTAAATAAAACGAAACAGTTGTCAGTAGTACTGGACGCTCCCAGTGTCCCAGCGTCCGATGGGGTTTAAAGAGTTTTAAAGTAGATGTGGCGTCAGTGTCCTAGTGGTTAGGCTACCGGACTCATATTTGTGAGGTTGCTGGGTCAGGGGTTCGAGCCGCAGGCCCGACGTTGTGTCCTTGGGAAAGGCACTTTACATGGATTTTCTTCACTTCACCCAGGTGGGAGTGGGTACCCGGTGTTCACACATGGCAAGTTACATCATGGACTGCCTTTGTCAAAACGGGAGAAAAAGGCATTTAGTTGGTGGTTACAAAAAAAGTAACGGTTCAGCAGTGGGTTTCACCCTGTGCTGGCAATGTGAAAATGTGGTAGAAAACTTGAATTGCCCCAGCCAGAGGTAACCCCAGGAGCATGCTTATTTATAACAGTGATTTTTTTGTCAGCCCCATGTATCATGAATAGATCAATACAGTAAATATAAAATTTAGAAATCCATACATGTTCTTTTTGGGTTTGTCAAACTTTGTGCAGTTGGCTGTCATCTTTTACACAATTTCTAGAAATTGGACTGAATTTAAAAAAAATTTTTATAATGTCTTTCACTTTGCAGCCTGTTTTAAAAGTAAGTTACTGTAAGATAAAATGAAAAGTGAGGATGTATTTATATATATTATAAATATGCGAAATTAATTATAATTATATCTTTTATTTTCCATCTGTCTATGGTATTGTAGGTAGAAGGTGGGGACTTTCCTCACCTGTTGGTGTATGGCCCTTCGGGAGCAGGGAAGAAAACACGTGTCATGTGCACTTTGCGGGAACTGTATGGCCCAGGAGTGGAAAAGTTGCGCATAGAGCAGAGCCACTTCACCACACCCTCCAACAAAAAGCTGGAGATTTCAACCATTTCCAGTAATTACCACATTGAAGTTAATCCCAGGTAAGAATTCTAACATTTTTGTTTTGAGCAGGGATTAGTTGTGTGTAATCTTGTTTGACTTTTCACGAATTTACAGATTTTTATAATGCAATAGAGATCTATCAGAGCCTTTGACTTCATTTAGCTTTTTTATTGAAACACTATTTCTGCTCCAGTATTATTCAAATGTTCTATTTTCTTAAAGACATTAATATCTTGTACAAGTTTATATTACAGTCATTGGGGGATTTATGTGCCTAATTTGCTGAAGTTTCATTTTTCTTCTTCCGTTTCTGACAGTGATGTTGGGCACAATGACCGTGTGGTGATACAAGAGTTGATAAAAAATGTGGCACAAGTGAATCAGTTGGACACGACTTCACAGAAAAATTTTAAGGGTAAGAATATTGGCAAGACAAAATTACCTGAGATGTCATGTTTGTTTGCTGTGTAAAAAGCACATCGTCCTTAAAGTATGTGGCATTGTGGTGAAATCAGGCGCTCATCTAACTTATGAAATTAAAGAATTCAACATTTCTTTGGCATGGGTAATTTATATTGATTAAAATGATTATTTTTTGGGGGGCTCAGCAGCCTGTAGGTTGATTTAAAAACACAGTTCTGTGTGGTTTTTACCGGATTGGATAAAAAAGGTGATCGAAGGCACAAAATTAGTAAATTTATAGTTTCCAAAGACTCAAGCTTTGGAAGTCACCAAACTTTGTAGGCCATTTTCTTGCTAATTTTTCTTCTGACACCAGGTGACCCCCCCCCCCCCCCCCACCTCTTTTTAATTGCGAATATCTCTACTTCAATTTAAGGTAGATAATTATTATTTTTCATCAAAAGCAAGACAGATGAAAAAGCTGTCAGATGATACCACCATTCCATATTCCCAAAAATTGATGAGAGCCTGATTCCACCACATTTGCAACACACAGCACTTTTTGTTCTAGTGAGAATGGTGGAGAGCAAATATGTTGGATTTTTCTTTTGTAATCCAGTAATTCACTTCTTCATTACGTTAGGCTTGGTTTGTAAATATGGCCCTAGATTATGTGCTCTCATACAAATTCCTTCTTGAACGTATGATCTCTGAAAAAGACACCAACAATGAAGGCTTGGAGTTGTGAATGGTTATAAATTGAATCCACCTTGTGCAACTCAGTGGATTTTTAACAGGGTATAAAAGTATACAAATTTATTTCAAAATATTAATTACTGAGATGGTCCTCTGCTGTAGCACTTGCAAATACTGACTCATTAGCAATGTGCATAGAGTAAAAGTAAAGGTCTCAAACCTAACTATCAATAGAGTTAAAGTCACAAACTTAACTACGGTATCAAATGTACTCTCTTCCACTTTTTCTAGTCAGTTCTGAACCGCCTTTCAATTACATCTTTTTATTGATTATAGAGTGTTCTAGATTCTACTCTTTCTTTTCTGTCACTCTAATGTGACTCGATATGATGCTTTCTCTATCACGCCTCTGGCTGGACTTCTTGAAGAACTCAGGGTATCACCGGCTTTCTCTTTTATTTCAAGACCACAGTATGATACCATGTTACAGTTATCCAAGTTTTTCTTAATATTTCTGCGAAAGAATCAATGTTTCTTTTTCTTTGATGATTCTACCCACAATTCAGAAAGATTGATCAGTCTTTGCATCTTCTTATGATGGACACTGTTTACTCTTGGTCTTTGTTTAAGTCTTTACCATGACAAGTTTGTCTCAGAGGCTGAAATTAATGTAGGATTTTTCATTATTAGACTGTCACTCATTTAACACTTTGCATTTGGGGGAAAATCCTAACACCCTGGGTGGTGAACATCGCGAATCGGCGAGATGGAACAGCGATATGTGATGGCAACGTGTTACTAAAGGGCTATACTCTTCTTTTTACTTGCATCGCACTTGCAGTCCAGTACCTAGGGGCTGTACTGTAAACGATACTGGCCATGAAAAATTTGATGATTAACAGGCTCGGTTATCTTTTATAATGCTTTTTATACATTAAACCACTAATGCCATATAATTGTTTTTATTATTTCTTTCCAGCTAGAAATTTTTATAACTCTCCTTGTCATATTTGAATTTATATAATATACTTTCTGAATTGCTTTTCAGTGGTAGTCTTGACTGAAGTGGACAGACTGACTAAAGATGCACAACACGCTTTGAGAAGAACAATGGAAAAATACATGGCTACTTGTCGTCTGATTTTGTGCTGTAATTCCACCAGCAAGGTCATTCCTGCCATTCGCAGTCGATGTCTGGGTCTGCGAGTTCCTGCTCCATCTATTGAAGAGGTGAGAATAGACAAAAATTTGAAATGGGTAGTGATTGTGGTGTTTTTGGGGTTTTTTTTTGTGTTCCCAAGATCCCAAGGTCTCAAACTAACTAGTTGTCTTTAGGTTCTTCTACTCCCCAATGACACTGATTTGTAAAGAAACATTCTTTTGTCTTATAAAACAAGTGCTGTGTGTCATACCTTTCTGACAGCTTATGCCATTTTATGGGCACTGTTAGTGTTAAAAACTGTCTGGGTTTTTGTACTTTAGGGGTGTTTTAAATTTTACTGGGCTGACTTTCCCTTCTTGTTTGACTTCCAACTGATGACAGTTCTTGGACTTAGGCTTGAACAAACATTCCTATATATTGGGATCATGAATAGGACAAATCAAAGAAAAAAGCCCAGATTATCTATTGGCTGGAAGCACAATCTGGTGGTACTGTGCCACTGTGACAAGACTTGCAAACACCTTATATCTTTGTCAAGACTAGCACACCTTTTGTCAATAATATTGTCATTATTCATATTTGAGGATTTTTTTTCTGCAATCTATGTGCTCTTTTAAAGTGGGCCCATGACTGTTCTTAGTTATGAATAAGCTGTTTATGGATAACATTCTTTCTGATAGAACTTTGCCTACATCCACAGGTTTAGTCTTGCAATGTGCTTTATGTTACATGAAATATTGTTATGTCGTTTTGTTGTGTGTTGTATAATCCCAGAATTACTCTTGTCTATCATATGAGATGTGGATACCATTTCTCCTTTATTATAAAGGTTTTCATTAAGGTTGTAATTGTTTCATCGACAGATCAGTCACATTTTGACAGTGGTGTGTAAGAAAGAAGGTCTCACGTTACCTCCTGAGATGGCATCAAAGATTGCAGAGAAGAGTTCTCGGAACTTGAGGAGAGCACTGTTGATGTGTGAGGCTTGCCGGGTTCAACAGTAAGTTTGTGGAGAAGAGTGTTAATTTGTTTTTGTTTTATATTTCTTTCTTTTTTTTTTTAAAGGGGGGGGGGGGGGGGCATGATGGGTTTCTACCTATTTCGGACACATTGACCAGAAGCAAGTATGAGGTTCCAACTCCTGTGACTAAGACTCTTGTCTTAGACTTGAGGCTTGTATGAAAGAGGGGGATGAGGGGAATGAATGGATGTGGGATTTGTCGAACTCACAGGGCATGTTTCAGTGCTTAATGGGTTCTATGTACTGCTCATTTAGAGCTCCTCTTCAGGCTCCAAAATCCCTTTAATTGCCTGACTTCCGCATGAATTCACTGGATATGGAACATGAGTGAGACAAGGAGTCTTGATACAATGTACAGACACCAGATTCATTGTTCACCCTGTGTCTAGAGGCTTATGCCGCGATAAGAGAGAGAGAGAAGCATTCTTTTCTTTCTTCGTTGCACTCTTATATTTAGGAGAATGGGATCTGTAAGGATTACCTGAGACATTGAGGTTGCTTGAGATAATTCAAGTCATATCTTGATTGTATTATTGACACTGTTTTCTAGGTTACAAGCACCAATAAATTTCTTAAATATTTTTACGTCAAAATGTTATACTTGAGCGCCAGGTTGTGCTGATTTGAACTTATGTAATGTCATGGGTTGTGAGGCTAATTTCTAATTGAAATTGTCTTGGTACCTTACACAAACTGTCCTCACGTCATCCAGGTGAAATGGGTTCTTTACTAAGACTGAATGATCTTGTATCTTCGTTTTAGCGTGCTGATAAAATGTTAGTTTAGCTTGCACTGATACATTGTTAGAAGCTGAAAATGTTTTAGGGATCTGTTGGAGATATTATATAAGTGCTTAAAACACCCTTTTGATTCGAGACTTCTATATGAATAATCAAATAAATCCTTTTCAGGTACCCTTTCAATCCGGACAAAGAGATCTCAGAGCCTGACTGGGAAATATTCCTCAGGGAAACGGCCACAATGATAGCTCAACAGCAGTCTCCAAAGAGGTTTGTGCTTATTCTTACTTCCTTTTTTTCTAGTGCTGATTGTCATGAACAGTCGAACCTGGTCTGGCAAGCACAATCTGTGGGTGGTTGATTGGTGCTCTGGTGTGGTTTTGCTCTTTCTTTCCTATCAAACATCTAATGTCTTTTATCTCTCCTCCTTCTTTTCTGTGTTTGTTACTATTTTGTCACACCTTTAATCTTCAGCACTTATAGTTTGTGTTGCAAATGCTTTAAAACCTATTTGTGTTGCACAAGCCTACTTCCCCCTTTGTGTTTTTTAATATAATAATTAATTTTTCCAAAAGGACAGGTGTCTATGATGACCACTTTTCTCTTCAACAATAGTTAGTTGTATTATGCAGGCTCGACTGTATTTATATAGATTTATGATGATGGCTTTTATCATATGTTATGAAAGTCTGAAGTTATATACATATGTATGATATATGTGTTGGATTCTGATTGTTATGAGAAGATGCTGTTATTTCAGAGTCAAAGGGACCTAAGAGTCTTTCTTTTCAAACATACTTTGACACAAACCAGAGGTAAATAAAGAAATTTTTTTATTTTAAAATCTGACATGATCTGCACATATTCTGCGACTAAGCCGTTACTTTTCCTGGAGTCTACTGCAATTGTAATAAGCTCCTTTTTTTTATTCCTCTTTTTTTTTCATTCTTGTTCTCACTAAAGTACACCATGTCCTCTATCTCTTATCAAACTACTGAAAAAGAGTTGATTTTCACAAGTATTTTCTGGTTGCTTTATTTCCCAGACTTCTTGAGGTGAGGGGCAGGCTTTATGAGTTGCTCACCCACTGCATCCCCTCTGACATCATAATGAAGGTAAGCTGTTGGCTCTTCGTTTTTTGTTTTTTCTTTTGCGTGTCCTTCGCTTTGAATTCTGAATTTAAAAATTATAGTATAACATCCCTGCCCTAAATAAATGTGTAATTTTGTTTGACGCTAATCAAGAGAATGTGTAGAAAATGTTGGGAGTCACTCCATTTTGTTGTGATGGAGGCAATTTATTTTATTTTGACTTTTAGGTCTATTTATATCAATACTACTAGATATGCATCTCTTTCTCGGGAAATGCCCTCAGTTCCAGTACTTCTTGTGTGCTTTTTTTTTGGTCTCCTTTTGTGTGTACTTTTTTTTACAGTGAGTCATCAGTCAGGACATACTTTGTAGTTTTGTGAGCCAAAGTCTTCTGCTTCATTCAAAACTTGCTTAATCAACCAGGAAAAACTGTTGTCTCCACTCTCAATGGGGTCACATGAGGGAAGAAGATTTATTTTAATTAGGAAAATGAGACAACAACAACACTGAAACAAAGTAGCAGCTTCAGAGTGCTCTCAAACTGCCTTCTGTCTTTATACAGGTGATGTTAAAATGTCTTCTTGCAAGCAATGCCGTTAGTATTCAAAAATCGACTATGCATGTATGATAGTCACATAATATGAATATTGTTTTGTTGATCAGATTTAGAAATTCCCTTTCTTTCCGCTGTTCTTGTTTGTCGACGAAAAGACAGACTAAGTTTTGTACATAATTCTGTAACCACAGGGTCTTCTGAGAGAACTCTTGAGCGTCTGTGACGGGCAACTGAAGTCTGAGGTGGTCCAGAATGCAGCTTTCTACGAGCACCGACTGCAGCAGGGCCAGAAGGCCATCTACCACCTGGAGGCTTTTGTGGCAAAATTTATGGCCATCTACAAACGGTTTTTGGAGGAGGGCATTGCTGATATTTTCTGATTGTGATGATTTTTGGGTGTTTTTTTCTCCACTTACTACTATAAATTGTATTGATGAATGAAGTTGTAACTCCAGTTTTCTTAATGTCTATAAATTGAATGAATCCCATGTAAAATAAATGTTTGATGAAATCTGAGTTAATTTTATTCATGGTTTTAGTTTTACCCAGTGTCATTATTATGGACTTTGTGGAATAGTCTGTCCCACTTATGACTCTCACATGTTAAGTAAGTGGGCTAGATTTTTTAAAATCGAGAATTCGTTTAATTTATTTTGTTTGGGAAAGAGTTCTTGAGACTTTTTTTTTTTTTCATATTTGACTGGAAAGAAGTAAGGTTTTCTCTGAATGTGACATTGTCCATTTAGTGAGTGCCTCTTCTTTGTTCAGGGTTCAACATTTTCTGACATTGTCCATTCAGTAAGTGGCTACCTTTCAGATGTAATATCTTGTGGCTGGCTGGAGATGGTTGCTTCAGCTTAAAAATGTGGTCCAACATACCCTCAGAGTCCGGAATTAATCCTTTGTAGGTGCTGTAATATAATATTGTATCCTTGTATTTATGGGAGGCTATATGTAGACCCCAAAAAGGCAGTCAAACCTGCTTTTACACTTAGCCACCTGTTCATTACAATCCCCTGTACAAATGACCATGTCCCACTTGCACCCCTACGTGCTGTAAAATAATATATTGAAATTGTCCAAGACATCTACCTGTCTCAGACAATTGCTTTTCTCCTCGACAATGGGATGCCATTTTGGACAATTCTGACTGTATTTTGAAGCTGTACCTGTGCTGCAGTCATAGTGCAGTGAACTGTTGCGAATGCTACCAACTTGTGTTTCGCGCGCTCATATGACCTTATGCAGTTGCGAGCGCCGTAAAACCCTGTACTACTACTACTACTAGTCATAGTATGCCTACAAATAGTACTGCTGAGGTTTTAGTGTATTTACTTCAGCATGAATGCATGATGAATGAAAACCTTTGGCTTTTCTCTCAGGTTGACCCCTGCACCCGATACCAGGAAAAAACACGGTTCTTCTACATGTGTGTCTCTTCTTTATGGGTGCCTTTTCTTTGTTCAGGGTTCAACATTAAAGGTCCCTTCAGGCCAGTGGTGCATGTCAAAGACACTTTTGCAGCTATAAGTCAAAGGAGAACAGGGCTGGTTGCATAAAATCCAAAATAAAACTCTTCCTGTAAGAGACAAATCCCTGATATCTGCAAATAATCAAGACTTCCTTCTAATTTGACGTACATCTGCCTGAAAGGTGAGGGACACCACATACGTTAAAGTACATATGTTGTTGTTGTTGTTAGCGATCCAGTAGCATCTGAGCGTTAACTCTTCTACATGATGCCATTCGGTAATAGTTGCATGTTTGTTCTAATTGTTGTCTTGAGGAGTAGAGGCAATTAGATGTGTGGGGTAGCTTGGGAAGAAAACATCCCCTTAAATCAGTTAGTTTTCTACAGAAGAACAGATGATGTTCCACTGTCTCTGAGGGGTAGTCACATAGTGGGCAGGCAGCAGACTGCTTTACTCCAATTCGGTTGAGATGTTGGTTGAGGGGTACATGTTGTGTTCTAAGTTGGAAGATTATGGATTGATTTCCCCTCCTCAACTCATTGATTGGATCTTTGACCAGTTGTTTATTCATGTGGCCATACATTCTCCTTCCTGTCGTACCTGTGGCCTAATCATTCATCCACTCTTCCTTGAGGTTTGACTTGATCATTTGGCAGCAGGTGGTGTAATTCGTAGGAATTTCAGGCTGAGGGAGGCTAGCTCCTTTCTTTGCCAGAGCATCAGCTCTTTCATTTCCCGGTATCCCAGTGTGGGCAGGAATCCATTGTAGGACTGCTCTGACGTGGTGCCTACTTATCAAATTATATGTAGACTCCAAATCAAGTGCAATACATCTTTGTTCACATCAGTCCCACTCTCAAGTGTCTCTAGTGTTGAAAGGCTGTCTGTAAAGATAACGATGTCTGTGGTAGCAAGTGGGTTAGTGTCAAACAAGTAGTTGATGTAGTTTGCTGTGTTGGTGATAGCCTGTTGTTCGGCAATGAAATTGAAGCAGAAGGACCCGCTGGAATTAAAGACTTCTTTTTTTATCCCACTGGGCAAGTTGATCACTGACCCATATCCAGCGTTGATTGTTGCCTTAAAGGCAGATCCATCAGTGTATGAGTGGATCCATGTTGGTGGATAGGAATCAATTGTTTCAAGGGCAGAATGTTTTAGTGCTACAGGATATGTGTTTTTATTGCTCTTGTCCAAAAGTGTTTTCCTAATTTCTGGCTTTGCTATGGTGAGATGTGGTGGGAGAGTTGAGGGAACTCTTTCCAGAGGTTCTCGTCTTTCAGGGAGGTGATGTTTTTCTTGGAGATTGAGAACAGTGTCAAGTACGGATTTTGTATTTTTTAGTCTTTGATTAGGTTTCCACTTTTTAGTCTTTGATTAGGTTTCCACTTGTCAACAAGGACTCTATTACTATCTAGCCTTTTAGATCTTTCATATACTTCTAAAGCTGCCCGTTTTATTCGAGTTTATAATGGCTCAATATTTGTGTGGATTTCACAGGCCGCAGTCGGTGAGGTTCTCATTCCGCCGGAGATAAGACGAAGAGCTTGGTTTTGGATGGTGTCCATTTAGTTCTTTGTAGTTTTACTGCAAATGTTTTGTAGAACAAGATTATAATCAAAAACAGCTCTGGTATATCCTAAAAAGAGGCCTCTCAAAATGTTCTTGTCTGATCCCCAGTTGGTACTGGCTAGTCGTTTGATGAGATTAAGTCTCTTCATAGCCTTCTTCCTAAGGTTGTTGGTGTGTTGTTTCAGGTTGAGCTTGCTGTCAAGTTGTACTCCAAGATACACTGGGTTATTCTCCTTTTTCAAGTTGATACCATCTATTTTGAGAGGGATTTCTGCATTTGCAAGGTTATAGCTTCTCGTAAAAATAGAGTAGACAGTTTTTTCGCAGTTTACTTTCATCTTCCATAAATGGCAATAGATTCCTAGGGAATTTAGATCATCTTGTAGTCTTCGTCTGCTTATTGTTGTTGAGTTTCCAGTGTGCCAAAGGACCAGGTCATCAGCAAAAAGGGCTTTTTCTGTTCTGAGAACATCTGAAACGTCATTGAGGAAGGCAAGGAATAAGGTACAGCTGATAGAAGATCCCTGTGGGAGTCCTTCCTCCAGTACTGCTTTTGAAGATAGGGTTTCATCCATCTGGGTCTGGATGAGTCTATCTGTAAGGAATGATTTAATCCAGGAGTACATGTTTCCCTTGATTCCCATGCTCTGCAGTTTTAAGAGTAGTCCTTTCCTCCACACTCTATCGTAGGCTTGTTGGAGATCCACAAACACAGCCGTTGTCTGTTCCCCTCTTTGAAATCCATCAATGATTTTCTGTGTAAGCCTGAAGAGCTGGTCTTCTGTCCTGCCTTTTGACATGAACCCTGCTTGACACTGTGATATCAGACTTGAAGACTCAAGCCACCAATAAAGACGAGAATTGAGGATTCTTTCATAGGGCTTGCCAATACAGGACGTGAGTGATATTGGGCGGTAGTTTTTAGGGTCATTGGCCTTCTTCCCTTTCTTTAAGATTGGGTTTATAGTAGCTAGTTTCCATGCTTTAGGCAGATTTCCCTCGGTCCATGTTCTGTTGTAGAGCTTAAGAAGTAGCAATTTGGTTTTTTCACCAAGGTTTTGTAGCATCTCATTGTGTACTTTATCAGGACCTGGGCTTTTTCGCTTCTTCAGTTTCTTGATTGCACAGTCCAACTCTCGCTTAGTTAAGAAGTCCTGGAAGATACTCGGTGTCATCAAATCTCTCTCTTTTCCTTTCAGAACACTCAGTAGACCCCTGTCCAGGTAATTCCTTTTGCTGCTTTTGTGAATGGAGGCAAAATGTTTATTGAAGTGTTCGGCTTTTTTGAACTCGCTGGTGAGAACTTCGGTTTCTGTGTGTAGTGGTTTGGGGTTTTCTTTCCTTTTTCCGCCAGTGAGGTTATTCAGAAGTGACCAAGCTTCACGTCCACCTTGATGTAAATTGAGTCCCTCACACTTCTGCGTCCAGGCTTCCTTCTTAGATTCCTTGGTGACAAGTTTAGCCTCTGCTACAGCCTTTTTGTATCTAATTTTCTTGTCCATATTTTTTAGATCTTTCTCATATTCATGTCTGGCATCATTTTTAGTTTTTGTAGCTTTCTCCAAGCGCTTGTTCCAAAAGGGTTTATAGTTGGTTCTGCACCCCTGTGGGATACTCTTCTTCGCAGCATCTAAGATGGTGGAGGTGAGTTCACTATTAAGGGCGTCTATACAGACCATGCGTGCTTTAAGCACGGTCGTCGGGAGAAAGCTTAAGCGTGCTTAAAGCCGAAGCGTGCTTGAGTGCGAAATAGACATAATCAAGAGATTTTTAAGTAGAAAATTTCCCGTGCTATTTCCCTTTGTTTGTAAGTAGGCCTATAGCGGTCCCGCAAAAGTGTTATTTAGACACCTGCCATGGTTCGCTTGTTTGTTTTTGTTTTGTGGTCGAATGGGAAATGAAAACTTAATTTAGATGGCCAGTCACGATACAGCACACTTGGCCTACACACTGCCTGTGCGTACCACTGCCCGCTGTGCCACTCATACCACCGCCTTCATCCCACCTCGCGCGTGATACACAATCAGGATTAATGGATAGCGAGGGTCAAGGGTGAAATCGCAGCCAGCCTCCCTTTCTCGTCTCCCCGACTCTCTTTGTATTTTTTTTGGTCGTATAAGTGTGTGTCGATTACTTGCGTTCTTTGTGTTTCTCTTGACACACTCCACTGCTGCGGTGTAGACTGTTCGAACTTCGATGGGTCATCATGAAAATATTGACTGTCTTGTAAATGAAGCGTGCTTGAAGCCGAAGTTACCGTGCTTAAAGGCGTGTAATTTATATATTAAAAATTCGGTAAGAGCCGTTAAGCGTGCTCGAGTCCGAAACATGCTTTAAGTAGTTTAAGCCGGCGTGCTTAAAGCCGGCACGGACTGTACTTTTATTGTCTAGATCATCCAGTTTAACGGTGTCCTCAGCTGTTTTTGTGAAGAGATCCCAGTTTGCCTTCTTGAAGTTCCAACGGGTTCTTCTTTTCCTTTGTCCGTGTTTCAGTGTACTGATTTTGGTGAGAACGGGACGATGGTCACTAGATATACAGTCTAGCACCTCTTCACTGCAGTAGTTGTGTTAAAGTACATATGTAGAGCTAAAAGTGTTTAACAGCACTTGCAACCCAATAAGGTCATACAAGTGCCAAAGACTGAGGTGTTACAACAGAGAAACAAACACAAAAAAGGAGGGGAGATAAGACGATAGATATTTGATAGGAAAGGAGAAAACCAGCCAGAGCACCCGCCAACCACCCACCAAAAGAAGTAATCTAGTCTAGCACACTCAAAGTGAAATCAGGAAGGCGTGGAAATCTTTACATTATGTAAGTTTTGCTTTGTACGTTTTCAATACAAAGAATAACAATAAAAACTTCATGATCTGAAAATCTGTTCCCAACGTGCGTGTTTGCTTGTATGCTAAACTGTACGTAAAAATATGGCCTGTTGGTTAAAAAAAAAACACCTTCAGCTGACAACCCTTGAGATAAAGCACGGAATGGAGAAGTTCTGAGTTAAAGAAAAATGCACAGGCACAATTGAAAAAAAACTGTTATCAATTTCTCAGGGAAAAGCAAGACAGGCACAATAAGAAGGACCAACCAGGGGCACCCTTCAACCACCAACAATGAAGACAGTATTTATCACAAGAACAACAAAAAACAGAAACTTCCTTCTCAACTAATTTTTATTAACCAATCAGTGTAACTCAAATCTATCACACCAATATAAACACACTTAAAAAACGAGACATGACACAAGAAACATACATGAAATATGGCAAAACTTTTTTTTATAAAGGCACTATGTTGAACAATTCACACAATGGCTTTCTCCATTTTAAATGAAAAAACATGAATTTCAGCTAATTTTTTTTCAACTAATACAGCATACAAAAGTTTCCTTTCTTGGAATTGAGTCTTTGGACACAAAGTCAGCATCAGGAGGCATTTAACATAGACCAAAATTGTTATTGATTGCAACTGTCTACCAAGACTGAGATTCTTCCACTCCTTCCATACTACCGGGATACTTGTACTTAAAATTGTTTAAGTTATCATATACCTTTTCAATAATGAGTACTTTCTTTTCCAATTATCCTTACAAAGAACAGAAATTGAAAAATAATTCTGAAACTTCAAAACATGAGATGAGTGTTGACGTTAATGAAATTTAAGTAGACAGTCTTAAAATGAAGGCTATACTGAAAATGATATAAATGCACTTTCTTACCCCTAGATCCGCAGTTGGCATATATTGCTCTAAAAAAAAGTAACTCACTCCTAATTCGAACTGTGAAATCCTAACAGTTCACATTTTTCAATCTTCGACAAAATAGATTTCGGCAATGCCCACCCATAACATAACAACATAAAAACATTCACATCGATCTATCATGTAAAATTATAAAACTGATTGTTCCAAGAGTAGAATGGGAAGGAATGATACTGTGGTAACAGTAATAACTTGGTTCTGACTAAGAAGATGCTTTCGCACAAAAAGACTTAAAAAGAACACAAGTGTCTAAAACAGGAATGAAAGAATTAAATGGGGAGGGGGGAACGCAAGCATTAAGAGGATAAAAAGCAAGAATGAAGATTAAAAGAAAAGAAAAAGCAATTTCAACATATCCATTTAAAAATGGTACCTGGACACTAGGACCGAGAAGTCAAAATTAAAGAAAGAAAGCTAGGACTGTTTATAATTGAGTAGCACTACAACTATGACAAAACTTGCTATAATAAAAAATCCCAGAATGCCTGAGAAATATTTTTCCAATCGGAACTAAACAGAAGCAAACTATAATTCAACAGCATGTATTATGCACTATCGGAATTGAATACAACCAGTCTGTTCACCTCAGAGCAACTCAATATTCATTAATCTAAATCTAACATAATAAACAACTATTTGACTACATTACAAAAATATACAACATTTACATTCAAGTTAAAACTAGAAGCACTAGTTTACTCTACTTAAAAGTATAAATATACTATACTAAGTTCTAAAATTACAAACTCACTGAAGCAACCTGAGAGAAATTTCACACTTGAGGCCCAATTATTATAGTTCTAAAAAACAACTGCCACATTTTGTTCAACCAAAAGAGCTATAAATGAATGAACTGAATGAAACATTTTGTTTCCTGCTGAGATGTGTTATGAAAGACAAGGGCGCTCAGTTGCCGTCCATTTCGCGACAACGAGACTGATCTAAATAGATCATTTCTTAAAAATCATTTCAAGAAATCATATGGAGACAGTGTTTCAGTCACCTTACCAGCAATTTCAACATCTTCAAAAATGAGCAGATATATTCTATAATAACAGGCAAACACATGTCCCTATCACGGGACAAAAAGCAGGCGAGTTGATGGGACTAAGATATGCAGTGGGACCTTAGACAACCAGTATCATATTCCCAGAAGATTTCATTCTCTCCTGATTTACAGGAATTCTTGTTCTTGCATGTGTATGAACTCTCATCCTTCATCAAAGGAAATTCCGAAAGCTGTGAAGTGAAAGCAGTGCAAAAGTGAAAGAAAGAAGTACAAGAAACAAGAAGTCCATATCAGGATGAACGAAAAAAACTGACAGGTCCACAAGGTTGGTCAATTGACAAAAAACTCCTCTGGACATGATGACAATGTCACAAGGAGTGCCCATAAATAAGACCCAATATGCAATACTATCACTAATGCCTCCAGTGACTGAACACAACAACTATTAAATAATACTGCAGGAAGATTTTTGATAGCTCACAAAGGCCTTAAAACTTTCAAACTTGGAGAAAGCGAGCACCACAACTTTTGATACAAGTCTAGAAAATCACAACCATGCAGCAAACATCCTCCACCCTCCCAATTTTGTACCGTCAGAAGGAAAGAGTTCAAAAGAAAAATGGTCCTTGAAGAGATCCGCCACTCCTAATTCCAGTTGTTTGCTGATCTTACACTCATTATGCAATTATAGAGAACCTGACCTCTTCCTGTCTTCTGTAGTGGTCTCAAAGAAGGGGAAATCAGAAAAATAGGACATCACGTCCATCCACTTTCTGTCACTCAACAACACTGTAAACCATTTTGATTCAAAGGTCCCCCTGAATCGACATGTTATTCAATATATTTACAAAGATGATAGGTTTGATTGATGAATATTCATCTAATGAAAATCACACCGAAAAAAATAGGGTGAGGAAGCAATAAAAAATTTTTAAAGCATGATGGCATCTGAAGTTCAAGATATACACATAAAACGTGTGATAGGAATCTACTGTTTGCTAAATCAAACATTGCAAGCCACCATATCCAAATTCGGAGTGGTGTGTGAACGATGGAAAGTTGCAACATGAAACGGGGCCTCATCCCCTGAACCACTCTCAAAGCTGTCGTCAGCAATCGACCTATCAGATATGGTTTCATCGTCTCCATCACAACAATCCCCACCAAGCTGGAACATTATCTTGTGCGTAGTGCTACCACCACCCGGGTCGAATGACACTTTGTGATTCTGGTCTTTCCAAGTTTTTCCGTGGTCCAGGGTGCCAAAGAAGTAGCCTAAGCTGTTGTGGTGTAGACTGTCGGAGAGGTTCGGTGATGAGGCCGACGGACTCAGGAGGCCGCTGGAACTGCCGTGATGATGATCTTGGAGTGAACTTTCCTCACCTTTGTGGTAGAGCTGGTAGAGGTTTTGAAAAGTACTCAATTTCTCTACGGAGGACAAGAGGAAGAAAAAAAACAACATATATATTATTCATATTCAGAAGAAGTGTTATGAAATGCAACAGGCAACTGTAAAAAAAATCATTCAGTTTAAGAAAGCAAAATTTCAAATGCAGGGTTCCTGCCATGAACTTCCCATCAAATTCAAGGAGGTTTCAAGGAGAAATTTTTTTTAATTCAAGGAGATTTGGTCAAGAAATTCATGACGAAAGCCTGTTTTAAAAAAAAAAACACTTGTCCGAAAGGAATCATATCATATTCATAGTTTCGATTTTCCTAGACAAACTGTTCCCAGGGTGACTGCTCAATTTTCAAAGGGGGGGGGTCTCATCCATTCTCCAGGGGCATGTTACATAACGACAGTGCATGCTCCATTTATATGTTATATATAATATATACACACACACGCATGTAGGTACATTGAATCCAGTTAACAACATGATGTCAGTGTGGCACTGAGATACTGTGACTTAGGTTTTTCAGTCTGTTCTAGCTTATTTATATTTTCCCCTCATTATATTCGCCTATAAACTATATAAAAATGAATCTTGCTTTGAGCCTGAGAAAAGGCCTAGAACCAGAATATCCACTGACAAGAACCAGTTGGGGTGTCAAGGTTTATATAATAAACGTGAAAGACAAAAATTATTACTCTAGCTCAAAGTCAAAGTAAAGTAATAACATGAATGGCTCAAGAAGACTTATTCAGAGCGAGAGGTGTAAGAACTGTCGGAGGGCAAGAAGCAGTGACACTGAAAATCTGCGAATCTTGAACAGAAAGCTAAAATATACAATACATATAATTTACTATCACCAACGCAATGAAACGGGAACCCTTTAGTAAAAAGAACACGGCTTAGACGGTTTGAGTATGATGGATCCCGATTCCACACAAGGATTGTGCACCAACGCGCCCTTTGCAGAGAGATCTAGAGATCTACCAACTTCCATGTTCAGTTTTTTTTTGTCACCCGGTGTTGCCTTCAACCTCCAGCCCCCTCCCCCTCCCGCGTGCGTCTTTTTAAAAAATCAATAATCCTACCATTCCCGAGTCCTATACTTCGCAGCGCTCAAACTTTGCATGAACTTTGGTAACCTCAACCATCGCCGATACTAACGATGTGACGAAAACGCACAGGTTCAATGACCGGTCACGATGGCGAGCCCGACAAGAAGCTTGTATAACTTTCTTTTTCTTTTGGTTTTTTTTCACACAAGTGACAGCACAGGACAAATGATTTATTTTCATGACGACACAGCGTTTGTAATGCAGAGCCTGCATGTTACAAATGTGGCGTTATCAAACTACTATAGGCTCTACCGCAAATTTCTGGGTGGTAACGAAAGCGAAAGTAGATCTTGATTTTCCCGATCGAGCTTCGGTATCGCACATACTTCCACTTGTTGCCGCCATTACCGCATGTGCGCGTGTAACGTACTCTCAGGCGGGAGGGGCCGAATAAATATTATTCACAATCGCGACCGGCAAAAATGAACTCAAGGACGTTATCGGATTTGGTTTTCAAATATTCGAGAACTTTTAAGTATTTCCCCGGGTCTTTCACGGGGCAATTTACAGCGTTGCATTCCGGATCTCGGCGATTTTTTTTCAAATTCCTGGGTAATTCCAGGGGCCCCCGTGTACACGTGTTCCTATCCGATCTGGAAAAATTCAAGGAGTTTTCAAGGAGATTTTTCCTTGAATGCAAATTCAAGCAGTTTTCAAGGACTCCTTGAATTCAAGGAGGCCGCGGGAACCCTGTCAAATGCCACATGTCACATTCTTCAGGAGTAACACCTCAACCTGGAATGACTGCTGAAATTTACAGGATTAAAAAAAAATCATGGGGAATTCACATGCATCTCTGTTAACAGCATTCATCAAGAACAGATCCTGTGTGATTACTGAAGAGCACTTTTCAAGCAGCAACTGACAACTTATAAGTTTTCTTTAAGAAAACCAAACAGCTTGTGAATACCTTGCCAAGGGTCAACCTTCTCCATGGACGAGATCTCCTCCAGTCTTTGCTCTGCTTGCACATTTCCAAGCTTGGCAGCTCTTTTGTACAAGTCCTTTGCTGAGGCCAAGTCTTCGGGTAAACCTGAAAAAAAGAAAAATCATTAACTCACTTACTACTGGGCCCTTTCACAAGTCACAAGCGTTGAAGACTGGCGTTTTTGGGAGTATTTCAATAAATCACCACAACTCTCAAAATTACCCTATTGTAATTATTTTTTGACACAGTAAATTAACATTCAAGCTTAATCTAAAGCAAAAATCTAAAGTTGTCTAGGACTAATACTTTAATTGGTATGATTATTTTAAAATTGGCATGAATTTGGTTTTCCGAAAAATTTCCAGACGTGACAGGTAGAAGTAGAATGAAATTCACAACAACAAAAATAAAAGTTCAAAGTGTTCTGTTTTGATTTGTATGCATGTGTGTGTTTGGTGAAAATATAAAAGCTGGTCTGTGCGTTGATTCAGACCCATACACTGTATGACATGAGACAGATACGGCACGACGTGATTTCGTTGCGCGAACAACAACACCAGTACTAGTGCTAGATCTAGCCCTAGAACTACGACTCCGGCCGTGTTCGGGTACACATCCAGGATCCTAACTATCAGACACATCATACTCTGAGACACATGAACTAGTAAAACGTACAGAAGTATAGAAACCGGCGACATTATGTGATTCTTGTTCATGCGACTTCTTCGACCGTTACTACGACGCGACTGTCGGATTACTATCAGCTGTATAGAAAAAAACAAAGCGCGAGTTCCGGTCAGTTCAACCCCAGTTGGGGTCACTGTCCTTCACCTTCAATAACTTAAAAACTACAGGCCCCAGAGATACGAAACGAAGTCTAAGTAGCTCAGGCTTGGCCAAACAAGGGTACGAAGCGGGTCTCGCGATCCGTGCGAGATTTGTACAGCGGAAAAAAAATTTCCAAAGTTGGTCACGCAGGGCTCGTGGGAACCGTTGCCAGCGTCGTGGCGGGGGTCACGCAACTGTTGTGTGAACCGTCTGAAGTGAGTTAAGATTCACCCTGGACTATATATTGCAAACTATATTTGGGGATCATTAGACTCAAATGCACACTAGATAAAACGCAAACAACATATAGACATGATTTTTACAAACCAGTATTCATCAATCTAATAAAAGAATGGAAATTTCAAGTAAAAACCTCATAAAAAGTAAAACAATTTATAACTGGGATTTAATATTCAACTGAGAGAAAACTGCTATTTTTAAAATAGTATTTTTTTTCCCCACTCGTGTTTTGCATCACTTTCCAGACACCAAAACAAGGAACAAATTTGCATCATGTAATTAACTCATACTTTTATAACATGCATTTTTTTTTTACAATCTCGCCATTCTGAAACAATAAGACAGGTTGGAAAGCTATCAGTCTTAGGCCGCCTAATATTTAGAGCTCTTGTTAAATAATGAAAAACATACAGGGTGTCAGAAAGGTAACTGTAGATAGGGCTGCCTCATGGAGAACAAATTCTATCGCCATTTCTGTATGCAAGGAGCTAACTAGGCAAATATTTTTCAATTCCTGAAACAAATAAGCAAGAGCAAATAATTATTATTCTCTCTCTCCGTACCATTTTGTAGATCTAGTGGTAAATCTTCGAACAAGGATAGCTTAAAAGAAAACGTAGAAATAAAGCCTTACCCCCAAGTCCCTCTTCATTAAAGACACCGAGATTGTACATGGCCATATCATGACCAGCGGCTGCTGCCAGGGAATAGAGCTGTGCTGCTCGGCACTCGTTCACTTCCACACCCCAGCCCTGCTCGTGGCACATGGCCAGAAAGTACTGGGCTTCGCTGTCCTGGAAGAGGGAAAAGATAAGGACAGTGTGAGGTACTAGGTCACTGCTTTTACAAACAAAAAGAACATCAAATATGGGGTATGGTGCTCTTGAAATACTCATAAAATATTCTAAAAGATTTCACCAAAAACCAGTTTTTTAAAAAAAACCTCTCTGAATTCAGAAAAAATTTTCTATTTTTTTCTGACAACAGAAAAAAAAAATGATTTGAAGGATTTCGGAGGTTTGTATTTTCTCCACTGTCTATCAAAACCATATTCATAAATGATGAAAAGAAAATGACAAACTACAGTTGAAATTATTAAAGACAGCCACCTTCTGTCAAGGAGAAAAAGACAAGCAGATGTCTCACAGTGTCATTATAATGTAAGAAAAACACAAGATGAGAAATGAGAAGGGGCCATTTACACAGGCAATTGTCTAATTTCTATTACAACTCACATTTTGTTCAGCAGCTGCACGGAAGTAAGGTAAAGCTTTTGAGACATCTTCAGTTTCCTCCATATGATGAATACCCAAGTATGTTTGTGCCTGTGGAAATATAAAAATGTACAGAGGATATAGAAAATGCAACCCCCAAAAAAAAGAAAGTTCAAATTTATAAATGTCCAGGCATGTTGAAGGTTAATGTAGAGAGGTTTACAGAAAGTACTGAAATTAAAAGATTGCAACAATTAAGTCAGTTACCATCAAGGAAACCCACAAGTTAAAACTGATCTAGCCCCCTCAACTCCACTCAACCAAGTAGTAGATACCAGAAACTATATTTTCAAAGTAGTTGTATGCCAAATTTATCTGTTCCATTCAAAAGGCCTATATCCACTGAGCATTTTGGTACCATTCTTTAACCTTTCAGTCAATTTTTAAAAAAATGGTAGTTGTTTAAAATTTGATTAAATTTGTTTAAGTCAGTCACTGGCTGCAAACCCATGTTTGACAGACAATAAAAGAGTACCAAGTGCACTAAACATCTCCACATTAACAGAGTACAATCACTATAACAAACATATGGAGCATAATTTTTTTCAAGACTGTGAGATCATTACAAATCAGTATTTTATCACTTCAAACACGATGATCTGTCGTTATTTCGACAAAAACACCGAGCGTTGACCCGGCCGGCGCCGCACCTCCCCCTGCGGCGAGCGAGTCGGCTTATTCTGTAGTGTACCCTGCGTGCGGGGTCACATGCTTTCCGAGTCTCGCGGAAGGATTGATGTAAAATAATTCCAAGTAAATTATTTTATTCTAATAGAAAATAAACTGATCTTTACATGAACACATTTTTTGAGCCAATATTTCACATATTTTGTGTAAAAAGTGATCTTTAAACATTTTGACAGCATTTTTAAAAGCTTTCTATTTAAACACCAAAGGCCAAATAAATACCATGGGAAAGCCTGTTTAAAGGTCTACAGTTCTCCGCCAATGAAAAGACGGTATTTAATCATCGCTCGTTCCGCGAAGCATTTGAATGCACGCGTGTCAATTTTTGAACCGGCCGACCACGCATTCCGACCGCGAGGGGCTTCGCTTTCGTTGGCGATTCTCCAGCTCCTAATAATCGGACATATGAACAACTTACACCATTGTAACGAGGAAAAGCTGAACTTTTACAAGGTGTATGGCATTTGGTGTTTTATAGCGAAAGAGCAAAGAAACAGCGATCGTAATTACCCCGATTTCACCGATACCATGCGGTCGGAAGGCCTCGAGTGCCCGCATTTACGCTACCTACAAGTAGGCTACCTCACAAATTATCCACTTTTCAGAGGTAAAGACTTGGAAGAACATCACCTTGTGGATACTAAAGGCAGGCCTTAAAATCATAATAATCACAAAACCCCCACTTACAGCGAGCTCGCACAAACCACATTCTCTGTCAAAACTAAGAGGAGAACAAGGAAATGACAGGAATATAAATGTCATACTCCACGAATTAAGAAAAAGGGACGAATTTTAAGACAAGAAAAAAGAAGGTGTTTCCGTGATCAATCTTTATAAATTCTATAGATGATCTTGACTTCTTTTGTATTCTTAGAAGCTTTTTCATTTCTATCACTGGAAACAACATATTAGCAAGCCTTCACGGAGATACATCATATCAGCCATTACCTCAGCCAAACCAAGCCTGGCAGCTTTCTCCAGCATGTCTAGTCCCTCCCGTCGGCCACTGCAGCAAACACCAGCACCAACACCGGTACCTCCACTGTCCCCGACCTCTCCCCTGTCACTGAGGTACATGAGGCCCAGGTTGTACAGGGCCAAACTGTGACCCGACTCCGCAGCTTTCTTGTAGTAATACTCCGCCTGAAAGAAAAAAGCATATATGTTATATCGCATTACGCAAATGTATTTTGTGTTGAGATTAACCCCTTCACTGCCCCGGCCCGCTGATTTAGCAGGCTAAGAAGTGCTTCCCTGTGCCATGTGCCTGCTGATTCGGCGGGCCTATGATGAAGACATTTTTAGTGTAATTTTCCACTGTTTAAAGGGACAAAACTGTGTCACGACTAACCCTCATTGACATTACAGTAGTCTCCCGTGAATCTGGGGGTCATTTTCATTGTTTTGAAGAAGTGAAGTGTTGACGTTCTGAGTTGTTTACGTTTTGTTGTTGGTTTTTTTGCTTTTCGCAATGGCATCCCACAGACCAGTCTATCGACCTTCCTTTTTAGCTGCAGAGGTTCTAGACGAAATTATGAAAGACTGTAACAGTGATGATAATGATTTCTATTGAGTTTCAGAGTTAGGGGCTCTATGTGACGCTTGTAGTAATTGGAGCAATTTTCCCCAGCACAGCTATGTAGCTCATAGCCGGCAGTGAAGGGGTTACGGTGTTGTAAAGTGCCTAAAGCTTTATTGTACAGGAGTGGGTGCTATAAAAATCATCATCATCATCGCCATTGCCTTTCTCACCCTGTACCAGGGTATAGACCACGGACAAACACTTTCCACCTTTCTCTATCCTAGGCTAGCTTCTCGATGTTATTCAATGTCTTCCCACTTTCCTGTACATCAATTTCTGTGAATCTTCTCCAGGTTCCACGCGGTCTTCCCCTTGATCTCTTACCCTGAGGATTCCAATTCAAAACTTTCTTGGTTATGCAGCTGCCTGACTTCCTAAGAGTTTGTCCAATCCATCGCCACCGCCTTCTTCCAATTTCATCTCTGACTGGGATGTGTCTTGTTTTCTTTAACACTTCCTCGTTAGTGAGCCTGTCTGTCCATCTGATCCTCAGTAACTTTCTTAGACACTTGTTCAAGAAAACCTGGAACTTCTTTATGCAAGTCTGTGATGCGTTCCATGTCTCACATCCATACAACAGGGCTTACTTCACATTTAAATTGAAAATCCTCAGCTTTGTTCGAAGTGAGATATCTCTGGTCTTCCAAATCCTATCCAAAGATATGAAGGCAGTGTGTACTTTTCCAATGCGGATAAAAATAATCGGCATCAATATTATCCTTACTACAAACTAGTTTTGTTTTGTGTTCCTGTAATTGGAAAAAAGACCTTGAACTGAAAAGAGAATCAATCAAAAGACAGAATATCTGGCAAACACTGGTGAAATTAAGCAAAATAAAAAAAGCAAAAGAAGAAAGGGCCTCAGTACATGATCCACAGATTCATTTCAGTTTCAAACACAGAACAAGGCTAATGCACAAAAGGATTTGCGGGTCAACAAATAAAATGGCCGTCAAACCTGTACACAGAACATACTCAGGGAGAATCAGTGCTCAAAGGGACAAAAACAGAAGCAGTAATCACATTTCTGCTTTCATCACCCTTCACGAAAGAAATGGGTGTCTCATATCTCATTTACTTTTTAAATCAGTAGAGCCACCCACATGTTAAAGGCAAGAAGATGAAAAAGGACAAAAACAAAGACAAAAACAAAAAACAAAACAAGCAAAAGTACTGCAGGAATAAAATGTAAATAAAACCTGATATTCTTGAATACTTTGCAACTTCACAAATCCATTGTATAAGATGTACATCATTAAAGACAAAGAAAGTACGCATAAAATAGTCTCATAGACTAAAAAACAAAACAAAAATGGTTCCTTGACAAAAAACAAACCCAGCATTTTCCTGCTACAAACAAAACTTTCCACAGCAATACAATCTTTTTAGTTTTAGTAAGAGTTTTACGGCACTTGCAACACAATAAGGTCATATAAGTGCCGAAGAATAGGAGTGTTACAAGAGAGTAACTTACACCAAAAAAAAAGGAGGAGAAGAGATAAGGATGATAGATGTTTGGCAGGAAAGAAAGAGCGAACAACACCAGAGCACCAGCCAACCACCAACAGCAATACAATCTACAATCATTTTCTCGAAACCAGAAATTATAACGCGCTCATATGACCTTATGCAGTTGCGAGCGCCGTAAAACCCTGTACTATTACTAGAAATTATATGCAGCAAATTTTTCTGCCATTTTCAACCCACTTTATCAAGATCCTGCGTGACTCCTGACCCTGTTTCATAGCATAAGCCCAGGTTGAAGCAGGCCGAGCTGTTCCCGAGCACACAGGAAGAGTGGAGGTGCTGCACGGCTGTCGTCATGTCTCCCTGCGAGGCCGCCTGGAGGCCCAGCAAACTCTGACTGCGGGCTGTGTACTCTGTGCACATGGACTGGAACTCCTCCATGGCTGAATCCAGGCTCTGAGAATATATATATATATATATATATTTTAGTATGATATTTGGGAAGGGAAGTAATCAAAGATACACATGCCTTTACCACAGCCTCGCACTCCTAAACATGTCAGTAAGGTCAAACATTAAAAAGTATTTCTACTAAGCTTCACTGTCATAAAAGTACATAATTACACTGTAACTCGTGTTACTTTCATAATCATAATTCTTATACACATTTAAATTTAAGTGAGAATTGTTGTGCTCTCGTGAGACTGCTACTTTACATCTAACAAAGTCACAAGAAACAACTTGTCAAGACCTCAACGTTCTATGATTAAAGCATTGGTCCAGAGACCACTAGTCTCAGAGTTGCTAGCTTGATAACAAAAAAACAAACAAACAAAACAACAACTGAAACAGTAGCTTAAGCCTCTCACCTGACAAACGATAACCCCCCCCCCCCCCCAAACAGCACTGACCCTCTGCCCCAAATAACTTCATGAAAATTGTTCTGTTACCTCTGCCTTCGACACATTCACCGCAGCATCGTGGGCAGCCCCCTCTGCATCTTTGATTGCCATGGGCCCCGGATCTCTAGGACCAGCTGGCAGGAAAACAGACGAGGAAGTCTCCACCTGCCCCTTGATGCCCCGCACTGTCGTCGCCCCACCCGGCATGGCAAACAGGACGCGGTAGAGCAGGCGAGTCTTGCGCTTCTGACGATCTCCATCTGAGCCCCACAACATGGCAGAACCCTGGGAAATTTGAAAGGAATTTTGGGTTGTCATGATGCCATTTACCAGAAACAAACAATAGCCATGCTCACTTCAAAATTAAGACAACTGATAAAAGTAACCGGGATTTCAACCTACAGACAGCAGACGATGGTTGAACAATATTATGAATCATAGTATATATATAACCAGAGCCTGGTATACATTAACATTTTTTCCAACTTAAATGAGTAGCTGGAAAAGCAACATCAGTGTCCTTCACTCCAGCATACAATCTTTAAAATTAAGTCGAATGTTGGCAATAAAAGCAGACTTAAAAATTCATAACTCTTTAATAAAAAGAGTGAGGCTAAATTCAAAATAAATGCACTGACACAACAGAAGCATGGAGACATTTCAGAAAATCTGTCAAATAAAGCTTTGTGTCACCTAAAAATTATATACTAAAAGTAAAGGAAATATCTCAAAAACAAAAATGGATCCAGAATGCTAGGAAAATAAAACTGTGTAACTGAACAGCATAATATTTAAGCTAACCTGACTTAGAATTATTAAATATTTTCAGTTTAATGTATCAATCACCTTGAATGAAAAAATCTGATCAACTAACTAACACTTACCATGGAAATCGCCTCAAACATGCGATGCGATCCTTCCAACAGTTTCCAGAAATCATAGTGACAAGATCGCCACCACTCCCTCCCCTCCTCCTTTCCCGTACCAGACGCTTTATCACCCAACCAGCCATTTTTCTTATTCTCCGTGAATGTACTGAAAGTATACACCATCAAGTCAAAATAATATACTGTGAATAGACTGGATACAAGGAATAGTAAAACATTCAAAAGAAAAGTACACATAATAATGAAAATAATGGTGATAGTGGCTAATCCTACAAGGCTATAGTACAGTACAATAAAGAATTATCACTCAACTTGACTGATGAATGAAAGGACAGAAAATGCACATTGTGAGACCATTTAACACACACACACACACAGACTCCTCCCAGTCCCATACACATTCTCAACAAACAAAATTTACTAGCAGAGGATAGTGTTGAACAAATGTGTCATGTCTTTAGAAGTTCCTGTTTCTTCTAAAAGTGTTCACAAAAACCTCACAAGAAATCATCCAAACCAGTAAAATGAATGATTCACTGTAGCCTAGAGTACAAAGGTAGCATTCCTACAACTTGTTTCAATGTTACCTATAAAACCTGATTTTGTAGCCAAGAGAGGGCCAATACGAACATCATGCAACCTCAGTTTTGTCTTTTTTCTTAAATTTAAACAGTACTTTTCAATCTTTCTAATGTCACATATGTTAATATATGACTGTGAAATCGTAGTTTTATTTCTTTTAGTTTAGTTTTAGTAGAGGTTTTACGGCGCTCGCAACTGCATAAGGTCATATGAGCGCCAGAAGATTAGAGGTGTTACAAGAAAGTAACAAACATAAAAAAGAAGAAGGGGAGATAAGGATGATAGATGTTTCATAGGAAAGAAGAAGCAAACCACACAAGAGCACCCGCCAACCACCCACGTTATATTTCTTTAAAACAAACACTCGGAACAAAATTACAAAATATCTACCATTAATACACATTTGGAGAGAAAATATAGAAAGAGCACGTCTCCAAAGTCCAAGCACACAGTAGCTGCAAAACCCAAACAAGAGAGAATTGACTTTTAAAAAAAACATTTCCATGAGGCTCTTCTGGGGCCGCATCCAGGCTCTTGGACATGTACACATTTCAAAATTATATTCGGAGGAGAAAACAGGCAAAACACTTTCTTTAAGATAAAGAAAACTAAAAACTTTAAAATGCCAAACAAAGTCACAAAGTAAGTATAAAAAAAAGAAAAGAACATGATCAGGTTAAAAAATCTCACCTGTTCAATACATTCACTTTGCAACTACAACATCTCTGTTGTTGATCTGCTTCAAACTCTAAGGACTTTCTTCGACTTGCAAAGGGTCCCTGGGTCTCATCAGCCTCACTGATGTCATAATCTGTCTTTTCCTCATCCACACAGACACCAGCAGATGGTCGAGGCGTGTGAACATGTTGTCTGAATGCTGCATAAGAATGACAGATAGTTAGGTTCAAGTTTCTTTCAAGGGTAGAATAGCATCATGTTGCAGTTTTCACTCCATATTAGTTTTATTCTTGATTATACATATATACGATGCAAATGTTTAATTAATAACTAAATCTGAAAGAAAATACTCTTCATTTAACGACAGAGTTTTTTTTTTCTTTCACATTTTAGGAGCTAAGAAAGTCCAAGAAAATAGTTTCAAAAAGACATCAATAAAACCAGGTCATCTCTTTGATAAAGAAGTTTTGGTGTTGCAAAAGATTTGACATTGTGTTAACAGAATTCTGGAGAAGGCAAAACGATTACATTTAAAACTCCTTTATCAAAGGACAGGGTTTTCCCAATATATTACGTGTCAGAACATGGCGGAATCAGGCACTCGTCAATTTTTGGGCAAGTGGGGTTATGTCATATACATTTTGCTAGCACCCCCCCCCCTCCTCTCTTTCTCTCTCTCTCTCTCACACACACACACACACACACACACTAGATTTCTACCAGGTCTGGGGGTTGAAACTTCCCGAAATCACAAAAGAGTTCCCCTACCGGGTCTGTATACTTCGTGACTTTGTTCCCGGTTACCGGGTCTGTATACACTTCGTTTTTAAAATCGTTTTAAAATTTCTTTTTTTTTGTTACAGAGTCACTCTATTGCAATTAGGCTATTGTTAGGGGACCGTACGCCCCAATAGCGCTTGGCGCTAGGGGACCGTACGCCCCCATAGTGTTAGGCGCTAGGGGACCGTATGTCCTACCTGCGCTAAGGCGTGTAGTTACAGGACCGTACGCAGAATATGCATGCATCTGGACTTTGCAAAAATACTGGAGGAAAATGGCCAGTTTAACGAAGCTCCTGACGTAAGGAGTTATTACTAGATCTAGGAGAATGTTTTAAATGTCTGAATACGATTGTGAGGTATCTAGTGGCCGTGGGTGAACCAAAATTTGAAATTTGCTCACGTCTGCACCCACGTTGTTATGTGTCAATAAAAGAAATCAAAGAGAGGGGGGGGGAGAGAAAGAGAGAGAGAGAGAGGGGGGGAGACAGAGAGGGGGGAAAAGAAAGAGAGAGAGAGAGAGAGAGAGAGAGAGAGAGAGAGAGAGAGGGGGGGGGGGTGGGACGAGTTGGCGAAGGGAATGTGGGGGCGAACGATGGGGTCGGCAGGATAATTATGCTATTAGATCGAGAAGAGATCATTAATCAGGTAACGCCTTGCGTGGAATATGAGTTAAGAGTACACATTAAATTCATAGTATACCAACTTACGCCTATAGTGCTGTAAAAAATGCACGGCGCAACTTATTGTGAAATATCTTCTTACCTATCGAACATAGGCTCCAACTTTTGCACAGTGACTTATAACTTATATCAATTTGTCTTAACAGGTGAATATTGTTTCAAACTCCTGCTCACTGTATTCTGGAAAATTCCTTAATAAGTACTAATTTAAAAAATCCCAGTCGATTGTTTCTGCGAATTTTAAAAATGTTACAGCTCCGGCAATATGGCTTTTAAAAGCAAGTCTGTCATTTTTTTCCAATCGCAATAGCATGCATGCTTATTGAACGTATGTTTAGGAAACTTTTAGTGTAAAAAGAATGTGTTCATCATAAAAAACATTTTTGTATGAAGTTTTGCCACTAAAAAGTGTCATTGGCGAGCTATGACATAGGCCATATGCGTATGCAAATGTGTGCGAGAAGTGCTATGAACAATCACATTTTTCGCGTGATGGAGATTTATAGGCCTAGTATTTTATATAAATTTATGAAGAACATTTTTTTGATCGAGCCTCAATTGTTGTGGAAAAATATGATTCAGTTAAGACATTTTTTAATACAAACTGCTGTGCAAAGTATGGGTGACAATGATTCTCCCGTTAAAAGAGATATTTGAGGAAAAGTTGCACCACGAATTTTTGACCGCTACACGACACCTGCGCGCAAAAGTAGTCCAGTTATTATTAATGTGGACAGGCGTATAATATTATGTGTAATGCGCTTGCAAATAAACTTTAATTCGTCGGTGCTTAGTTCACAACCCGACGTTCTGTCAAGTCTCTACAATAGTTTGCTCTGCTCTTCATCTACCTTTTCCAGGCTGTCTTTTTTCCCCCTTTCTTTTCATGTTTTTGTTACTGTCACTGAATGTGAGTTAATCTTGCGTCTTGCGCGCTATCACAACTGTGTGCGTGCTCAAGCGTGTTCTCTCATGCAAAAGTGAGTAAATTTCCGGCGTTTGTGTAAATTTGTTCATCTCTCTCTTTCTCTCATGACCCCCCCCCCCCCCATCTCTCTCTCTCTCTTTCTCTCTCTAATACACACACACACACACAAACATACTCACACTTTGTCTCCCCCCCCTCCTCTCTCTCTCTCCAGCTCCTTTTTACTTTCTTTCTTTTTTTTCTTTCTCACTTCCTTTCTGTCTGTTTCTCTCTCTCTCTCTCTCACACACACTCTCTCTCTCTCTTTTCTCTCTCCCGCTCTCTTTCCCCCCCTCTCTCTCTCTCTTTCCATCTCTGTCTCTCTCTCTCTCTCTTTCTTTCTCTCCCTCCCTCTCTTTGATTTCTTTTATTGACACATAACAAACAACGTGGGTGCAGACGTGAGCAAATTTCAAATTTTGGTTCACCCACCCACGGCCACTAGATCTAGATACCTCACAATAGTATTCAGACATTTTAAACATTCTCCTAGTAATAACTCCTTACGTCAGGAGCTTCGTTAAACTGGCCATTTTCCTCCAGTATTTTTGCAAAATCCAGATGCATGCATATCTGCCTACGGCTACGGTCCCGTAACACCATGCCTTGCCTTAGCCTTTAGCGTAGGTAGGACATACACAGTCCCCTAGCGCCAAACAGCCAGTTTCAAACACTATGGGGGCGTACGGTCCCCTAGCACCAAGCGCTATTGGGGCGTACGGTCCCCTAACATCAGCCTTGCAATTAACATAGAATCTAGATCTAGATCTATCTAGATATCTAGATTTAGATTCTAGATCTAGATCTCTAGATCTAGATCTAGATCTAGTTCTAGATTATAGATCTAGAATCTAGGCCAGCCTATTAGCCTATTTTGGTAATTTTCTGTTGTCAAAGGCAAAGGCAAAACTAAAACCAACGTTGTTGTGAAGAAGAAATTAAACAAAGAATAGAGGTAGAGAAGGGTTCGTAAAAGATAATCGTGTCGGTATGGAACTCTCTAGATCAAGTGCCATCCATGGTGTTTTGGCCCTTGGGGGAAATCCCATTGAGGCCATTTGTTTACATGATAGAGGCGAAGGAAAACAAGCCACAAGGCCACAGTCAGCAACTGGCGAAAGCTTTTATTCAGAGTAATTTTACTTAAAATAAAAAGTTCTCAGTTACCTCGAGGGATGCTGTTCAGAAATCTCCACATGATTGATATTTATCAGCAAAATTAATTCACAATAACAGAAGAATGGGTGAAGGCCCCCGGATTAACCAGGGGCCTCAACAGGGAAACCCTGTCCAGCGGACATTTTCCCTGTGATGAGTGATGACGATTTTTGCTTAGGCCTACTGGTCATGTGATCTTTTCACGAAATAAAAAAATGCAGCACATATATACGAAACTATTCTTACCAATTAAAAAAAAAAAATTATTACGAGTGGAGTAAATTTTCTCTGCGTGAAATTGAATAATATTATAACTACTCATACTTAAAATAGGTTTCGTTTATTCTTATTAGTAAGCCAAAGCTGGGGCACACAGTCCAAGAAGGTTTACTTCACTTGTAATGGGGAGGGAAAGGGAAGGGAAGCTCAAGGAATTTAACATGTATAGGCCTACGCGGCGAGAGATGTCACAATAAAGACTGTTACAGGCCTATAAACCTAGTCTCATCAAAGTCATTTGTAACCTTTTTGCTTTTAATTTTGTCGAATTTTAGTTGTAACACCAAATGTTGTCTTTAAAAAGCAAGTATAATGAAATTTTACACTAAGTTAAGAAAGCAAGAAGGAAATATTATTCTGAAGGATCACGACCGCTTTTTCATGTATGAAATTATAACAGTACAGTGTAGTTTATTAGAAATTTAGATGCGTTTTTGTAGCATTTCTACTCACGAGTTATAATGATACAGAATATTGACCGCTCCATTCTCTAAAAATTAAAGATACAGAATGTCATTAATTATTCTTACCATCATCCATCAATATACTTCTTCCATTTTAATCATAATATATTGTTATAAGTATTCACATGACCTTAGACTAGAATGCCGTTGAGTTGCAATCAGAATACTGAGTGTGTATCTAGCTTAACATTATTATTGTTTTTATTACTGTTCATTTATATTATGCATGTGACTGTGAGCCTGTTTGTGGGCGCAAGCATGCTATGCGTGTGTGTGCATGTTTGTAGGCCTCATATGTGTGTGTGTGTGTGTGTGTGTGTGTGTGTGTGTGTGTGTGTGTGTGTGTGTGTGTGTGTGTGTGTGTGTGCGCGCGCGCGCGCACGCGCTGTACGTGGTGAAACACCAAACCACTGTACCAGGATCTGGACCATAAAAGTGTATCCTTACACCTGCATGACCTCAAGTGCACAAAAAGCCCTTGCAACTACACTGACATTAAAAGGGTCTACATAATAATTATGCATCCGTCCCTTAAATATTGATTGTAGCTGTTTCTTCTCTAATCTGAGTTTCTGGA